AATTTAATAGGTAGACTTCAATTATCAACTGAACGGAGTAAAGAAGAAGATAACCAATCTATTGTACAACTTAGAATACTAAGAGTTCAGGTAATAAACTTTATATTAAGAATTATATAAAAGAATTATATAAAAAAATTATAATATAAACATATTTTTCAACAGGAAGCAATTATCAAGATTTTAAAAATGCGTAAAAAAATTAGTAATGCTCAGTTACAAACTGAATTAGTTGATATACTAAAAAATATGTTTTTACCAAGTAAAAAGATGATAAAAGAACAAATTGAATGGCTTATTGAGCATAAATATATACGTAGACACGATGATGACATTAATACCTTTGTATACATGGCATAGATTGGGATTATATATATAATATTGTTCAGATTCTCATGATTAATATTATATTTTTATAAACATTCAGTTCTTGTTTACCAAGTATATGCTCAAAAATCCTAATATAATGGAAAGATATTAATGTTGTTTGTAATATATTCACAAAAAACATTTTTTGAAACAAATAGTACTGTCATACAGAGTCATATCGTTCATAAATTATGATTAAATAATATTATATTGTCTTCGACCATAGGAATGTGCATTGTTAAATAGGTAATATCTATTATAATATTTCAAAAATTTAAGGTATAAAGTTTTTTTTTAAAAAAAAAGTTAATTTGAACGTATCTGTGGAAAATATTTAAGTTTCAAAATTTATTCATTATACTATATTTCCATTATTTTTTGTCTTTTGTTTTCAGTGCTTCATTCAATGCTTAATTTCATTAATAACTTTATCTTTGATTTTATTTTTATCTTCTATTTTATATTTAATATAATCTGACAATTTTATTCTACTTTAGAATAAAATAGATTGTTTATGAAATAATTATAAATCCTATAAATTTGTCACAAATTAAGCTTATTTCGCGAGAAAATAAAAATGTTATATGTATAGATGGTATGTACACATATGTATATTATACATTTTAATACATATTTAAGCATAATTGCATGAATATGTTTATTTATTGTGTAATTGTTTAAGTGTACATATTTTCTAAACATAATTATTTTCATTAATTTGTTTAAAGACAGATAAAAAGCACTGAATTATAGAATTTTTTTCATATAATACTTCTATATTTTGTTTTTATTAAATATATAGCAATTTTTTTAAATCAAATACAATTTTCAAATAACAGAAGTTAAAATAAATTAATTCATATGAAGAAAAAATATAAAAAATGGCCTATATCGTTATATATAAATGTAAGGATATAAAATTTTAATTTTTTTATATTTTAATAATAAAATCTTATATCATGTCTGTACCTAAAAAATTTTACAATTATATTATATTGTGAATGATAAAATCTTAACTTAATATTACTGATAACATTGATGTGTATAAAGCTTTTATATTATTTCAATATGCGATCAACAACTGTAAAAGTGAACAATTTGGAAATTAAAAAATAAGATTTTTTTATATTTTTCGATGTATTTTTGATTTTATTACATTTTTCCCAAAAATATTATTTTTAAATAAATCATTTTCTAAAATTATCTAAAATAAAATAATTATTAAAATAATCTAAAATAAATTATATAATTAATTATATTACATAATTATAAAAGATATATTTTTATATGTTGTCTATGAAAGACTTCAACACAAAAATTGAGTTTTAAATAACATATTTATTCACACAAAAGTAATTTGCTGTAACATATAAATTATCAACAAATCTATATTAGATTAAATCTTACATTAATATGAAATATATTTTATATAAGAGAGAACACTATATACATTACACACACGCGTGCACATACACTCACATACACACACATATATATATATATATATGCATAAATAACCATAATTACAAAATAAACGCATATATATATATTTTGAGTAATATATAGATTTATTATTTGCAAACAATTTTTTTCAAAATAACAACTGTATTTATAAGTTTAATTTTATTAATTATATATATTCTAAAAGTTTAAAGTAATTAAAATAGTTTTTTTGTTAAAATAATGAAAAAAATCATTTTCTAATTTTCATATGTTATGGTTAATTAAAATATGACGTGAAATAATATCACTAATACCACTTCTCATGTGTTTGCATAATACACTTTTATAACAATATATATATGTACATTAAATATACATCAATGTTCATAAAACTTCCTTTAAACTTATCATACACATTCACTTTGTAACAAATGATATTTTTTAAGTTAATCTTTGTTTGAAATTCTGAGATAATTATACCAAGATTTTAATTCTATTTGCCTTTTTTCTATGATCATAAATTTTATATATCTTTTTTAAAAGTATTTATAACATTGATACTTTGAGTAAAATTTTAATAACAATAATTCGATACTTTTTATTTTTGATATTTTAATATTAATTTTATTAATTTTTATAATTGTAAGCAGCTAACAATATTTTAAAATATGTTTTTAAATTAAAAGAGGATAAGAATATAAAGTTATTTCGAAACATGTAGATTTTTATGTAATTTTTTATTTGTACGTTATTAAATATTCGATGATTTTTAAATTATATCATTATATCACGTATTTTTTATTTGTTTGTAATGTCTGCATAAAATATTATTTATCTGAAAACAAAAACAACTTTTGTGATAAAATATTTATTATATATTTTTATTTTATCTTAAATACTCACATATATTTGTCTGAGCAAAACACATTTACAGATTATTTCCTGTGAGTTTATAATCATAAATTAAAGTATCAATTTTGCAATATTGCAATACAAAATTGTTGAATATCATTATTTGTAATGCCTCTAATTGCTTCTTGGATGGATAAATAATTCATTTTATTTGCAAAGATGGACAATTTCTAATCGAGTTGTTTATGAATGTTCTGGACAACGCGTATGTTGAATACGTGGAACATTTTTTATAGGATTTGTTGTTTCACAAACATGTACAACTATGCCAGGTTGTCCTGAACCTCCAGGATGTAATTCATGACTACCTCCTATAAAAATTAAAATTATTTATGTAATTGATATATATATATCATAGAGAAGAAGTATATATTAAATTATTTAAATAATAAAACCTGCAGATAAATTTGCTATAGCTGCTAATAAGTCATGATTGACTAAAGGTTCATTTTCTTCTCTGGGCTCCCATCCAATAGGTGGTGAAGCAGGTGGTGAAATTAGGAACTGTTTAGTAAGTGCTGGTGGTTGCAGATGTTGATCTTCTACATCTATAAAATATATTATTTTTATAATCTATAAAATTGTTTTTATAATATATAAATCATTAATATACAAACCTATTGGGGTAACAGGTTGTGCAAAATAACAATTGATATTAGTTTCACCAAAATGAGTTTGGTGCAATTGTATCCTAGCATTTGCTGCTGCATTTGGAGAACTATAATTCACTCTCATTCTTCTAAAAGATCTAAAATATTGAAATGTAGCATCTTTCCCAAACTGCTTGAAAAGATCCTGTATTTCATGCTATAGATATAAAACAAATATTTATCAAAATGTTTATTACATTAAATTTTATTATAAATTTCTATTACCTTTAATTCATCACTTTTAAAAACTCTGGGGTCTACATTAGTTACAATGACTGATGTTGGTAAATCTTCATCACGTACTAAATCTTCAATAGATCTTGTATCAGAACGACTTTTCTCTATGTCAAATTCTAATTCTAATTGTTGATAATTAGGATGTAAATTTGGTAATCCATCAACTTCATTTATTATTATATTTTCTGATTCTTCTAATTCTTCATCTTCCACTATATCAGAACCATGTTTCTTCTCCATATTTATTTGATGCTATATACAAAAAATATTACACATTAATATGTATATTAATATATGAATTAGATATATAAATTAATATTTTTAATATAAAAATTAATTTGAGAATATCAATTATGAAAAAATATGAATAATTTAAATAATTTATTTTTTTTTATGAATATTTTAGTTGAGAATTTTATTAGATTTTATACATCAAATTGTAATATAAATTAAATGTATATCATTTTTTTTATAATTATTTTCATATTGATTAATTATTCTTAACTTATTAATAAAATTTATTAATAAAATTAATAAAATAGTTGTTATAATAGTCGTAGATAAAAGTTTATAATATTAATAAAACTCATAGTATGATATATTTTTTCAAATATTAAACTTCTTTTATTCAATTATTCGTGAACTAAAAACAATGAGAATGTATATTCTATTTCGAAAATTATATATTTTTTATGAATTATGAATTTATTTGCAATTTATATTACTATTAACAACAGATTATTACATCAACATAATGTCTAAAAGACAAAGTAATTAATCAGTTGACAGAATAAGTAATACTTACTTGTTTTCTTTGATTAAATCGAATGTATGTGTCCTTAATATTTATCTCTTTATTAGAGTGAGAATAAATTGTTTACTTATTAGTTTATTTATTTTTTTTTATTTCATTTAGATATAAAAATCTTTCATTGTATTAATGTTGTTATTAATCATTTATACAACTTTCGATATGTTACATATTGTATTCATTATTTTATTATTATCGTAATATAATCTTTTATAATCGTAGACTAAGAACTAGACTAGAAAGATAAGCAAATTAATATAGATAAACTTTTTTCAATAAAATCACTTATTATTGTTGTATTATTTATTACGCGCAATAAATAAAAACGAATAAAAATCTATATTATTTAAAATATTTGTTTTTTTAAATTAAAAAATTTAAAAACAGTATTTGTTTTCACTAGAATAAGAATATTTGAAAATTTGTCTTATATCAATCTTCTTATCGAGTTACCTTTCTATATACTTATATAAAATATATAAGTATTTATGCATGCATATATGTATTATATATATATATATATATATTGTATGTATGTATGTATTTGTACTTGTATATCATATAGTCGTAAATAACAGTGAGCAACAAATAACAATGTCGACGATGGAAGGTTCACTTAGCAAATGGACAAATGTTGTAAATGGATGGCAATACCGCTGGTTTGTTTTAGACGATAATGCTGGTCTTTTATCATATTATACAGTAAGAATTTTTAAATATTATAATTTTTGTTCTTGAATATTCACTTTTGTTAATTAATAGGTTACATTCTATTTTCTTTTAAAATATTTATGTGATATTTAATTTAAAATTATAATTTAATATCAATTATTATATTTATCAAATTTTTTTAGATCTATTTACCAATTATTTATAAAAGATTATTTGTAGTTTTTTAAATATCTTATATATTTGCCATTGTCAACTGATTTCTAAATATCTTATTCTCATTATACTTAATAAAATATTCAATTCAATCAAAACAATATTAAATGATAAAAATAAATCAAATTTAAAAAAATTATTATTAATATTTTTGTATTATACTCATTATAATTCAATTATCAATAATTCATATTTTATAAAAAAATCTATTTTATTAATAATAATATTTTCATTATATTGTTTTAAAAAATATAAATATTTTTAATTATAAATATTAATAATGCTTGCTCTAAAATTTCTATTAATATTATATTTTGAATATGCTAATTTCTTTATTATTTTTTAATTATATTTTAGAGTAAGGAAAAAATGATGAGAGGAGCCCGTAGAGGATGTGTACGTTTAAGAGGTGCTATTATAGGTATTGATGATGAAGATGATAGCACATTTACAATTACAACATCATCATATAAAGATGATCCAAAAACATTTCATTTTCAAACAAGAAATGCAGAAGAACGTGAACGTTGGATTCGTGCATTAGAAGATACTATATTACGTCATTCACATGCTGTATGATTATTAAATGTTATGAACAATAAGAATAAATATATTTTAATACTTAAACAAAATTTATATTATTTCAGAGATGGGATCCTAAAAAATCACCACCAAAACAAGATTTTGATCGCAAAGTAGCTGAAGCAGATGCTTATCTTCAATTGTTAATTGATCAAATAAAATTAATTGAAATAAAACAAAGATCTGTTGCTGTAGAAGATGAAGAAAAGCAACAAAAATATGTAGCAATTTTAACTCAAGCGAATGCAATGCTTAATTCTGTTAAACATACAATTGTTCAGTTACAAATTGCAAAGGTAAATATTTATAATGTGAAATATATTTATGTTTTAATACTTAAAATTTATATATCTAATATAATTAGTTATAATAAGTACAATACTTTTAGAATACAGCTATACCTGTAAATGGAATATATAGAGGACCCACTGATTCAATACATGTTTCATCTTCTTTATCTCATGGTATGTACTTAAATATATTTATAAAATATGTTAGTAATTGAAAGTATATAATACAATAAATTATAGTTGCTGTCAGAGAACCAGAAGCAACTGTACAGACTGGCATTGAATTAGGTTCTGAATGTGTAGAACTAAGATTATCTACATTGCCAAATGGTAATTTGTTTTCTTTTACTTATATTAAATTAAGAAAAAATATTAAATTAAATATTAAATTACAATATTTCATAAAGAATAAATTGAATAAATAAATTAAAATTAAGATGTATATTTTTTATTGATTTTTATTTGTAAAGCTGTTGTGGATAGAGATCTTCCTGTACCTCAATTCTCTTATTCATCTTCGGATGAAGACGAAGATTATTATGATGCAGCAGATGAAATATCACCTCCTTCTGCAATACAAAATCATATCAGTATGTAAGTATTTATTTTTTATAGAATTCTTTTATAAATTTTTAACCCATTAACGCCCATTTTAAATTTACAATTATTATAATAGTATTTGTTATAAAATTTTATTAAAATAGTCTTAAAAAAAGACATTAAAAATAACTCTATTATATGCGTTTTTAAAAACTTTTTAAAAAAAAAGATATATTTTCTCGAGTACAATGTTTTTTCTACAAACATAATTTGATTTCATTAAATAGATTATGTATTTGCATTTGAAAACATTCTTTAAATAATTAGTATCAATTACTCATTAATCTGTAACATTGCATTATTTATAATAAAATAAATGGATGTTCAAATATTTATGTATTTATCAATAATGATTTCAACAAAATTGATTTAAAATTTTATTTATTTAAAATTATACATATATACATAATTATACATAAGTTTATATATATATATATATATATATATATATATATATATACATATATAAGTTAAACTTTTGAATGTTTACATTGTCAAAATAACAAGTGAAGAAACAATTCAAAATGCAACATCTTGAAATTTCCTCGGCAGATGACAGCACCAGTTAAAATATCGGATGTAATTCTTTGAGTACAGCGGGCGTTAATGGGTTAATATAAAATTAAAGAAATGCATTTTGCAATAATTAAACGATTCAGTAGAAGACGAGATAGTGAACGTTCGCAATCACACGTGGATGTATTAAATGAAAATCGGAAACAACCTCCATTACCCCCTACGAAAGGTGATGGATCAGTTGATTATGATGGTAAGAATTAATTTATATGAAATGATATTTTACTTTGTATAATAATCACATTTAATATATTAAAAATATATATTAAATTAAAGTTTTAATATACAAAAATATGATATATTTATTGGATAATTTAAATAATAAGCTAATTATCATAATCTTATTATGATAAAATATTATCATAATTATGACAAAATATATTATTCTTGAGTTTATAATATAAATAATACAAATAGTATAATTATTTAGTTATAATTATAATACAAATAGTAATCCATTAATGCTTATTTTACAAATCTAAAATTATTATGATTTAAATTTAGAATTATTGCAAATTTTCATTGAAAAGATACACAAATTTAAAAATAATTATTATGTGTTTATTTTTTATTATTGAAAAAAGTTTTAAGTTTAATAATATAGATGTGATATAGATGTGATATAGATAAACTTTAGAATGAGAACTCTTCTTTGAGAAGTTTTTTCAAAGTAATAATTTTTTTCATTAAAAAGTAGATTAAGCAATTGTAATTAAAAATATTCTTTAAACAATAATTATCAATCGCTTATAGTTCGTAATATTGCATTATTCATAATAAAATAAATAAATGTATGATATCTTTTATCAGCAATGATTTTGACAAAATTGATATTTTAAATTATATTTAAACTACATATATATATCAATAATTAATTTTTGAATATTATGCATTGTCAAAGTAATAAAAATAATTCAAAACACAAAACATTTGAACAAAACACAATTTCAACAAATGATAATAGCAATTAAAATATTTTCTTTGAATACACTTACACATGGATTGATATTATAGTTAATTATTAGTAATTAAAATTAAAAATAAATAAAAATTATTTTTTCATTATTTGTTTAATTTTAATTAATATTATTACTTAAAAATTATTATTATAAAATTTTGTTACAGCTCTTTATGAAGAAGAAAGTGAAACAGAAAGTAAGAAATCATTTATTATTAATAAAATTATAAATTATCTACATAAGATGTAATTCTTATCTTTATATTGCTTTTTAGTGGATTCTATGGAATCCCATGGATCTGTTGTAACTCATCTTTTATCTCAAGTAAAAATTGGTATGGATTTAACAAAAGTAGCATTACCTACATTTATCTTAGAACGCAGGTCACTTCTTGAAATGTATGCAGACTATTTTACTCATCCAGATCAGTTTGTAAGGTATATTTTATATAATAAATATTTAGTAAAAATTTTTTACAAATTTATTGAAACTTTTAATATATTACAATATTTTATGTTTTAGCATAGCAGATATGCCTACTCCTAAAGATAGGATGGTTCAAGTAGTTCGTTGGTATTTATGCAGTTTCCATGCAGGTCGTAAGTCAGGAGTGGCTAAAAAACCATATAATCCAATATTAGGTGAAATTTTTAGATGTTATTGGGATATTTCTAATGATACTATGGATAGTTCTAATGATACAAAACTAGTTGTTGGAGGTCCTGTACCTTGGTGCAAAGAAAATCAGCTTTCATTTATTGCTGAACAAGTATCTCATCATCCTCCTAGTAAGTTTTGTTTGTTTATTAGAATCTTTATAAATTTTTTTTTATAAGAAATTAATATAACTTTTATTATAGTAAGTGCATTTTATGCTGAGCATTATGCAAAAAAGATTAGTTTTGGAGCACATGTATGGACAAAAAGTAAATTTCTTGGATTAAGTATAGGAGTACATAATGTTGGAAAGGGTTGGGTAAATGTTTTACAACATGGAGAAGAATATGTATTAACTTTTCCAAATGGTTATGGTAGATCTATTCTTACTGTACCATGGATAGAATTAGGAGGAACTGCGACTATTCATTGTACACAAACTGGTTTTCATGCTACTGTAGAATTTTTGACAAAACCTTTTTATGGTGGTAAACGTAATCGTATTTCATGTCAAATTACACAACCAGGAGATAAAAAGCCATTTGTTGTTATAAATGGAGAATGGAGTGGTTCAATGGAAGCAAAATGGGCTGATGGAGTAAATATAAAAGATAGTTATAAAAAATATCGATCTTTTATTTTATCTCATTTTGTTTCATAAATTCAATCTTTGCAGAGAACTGAAATATTTGCAGATGTTAAAGAACTTCATACTCAAAAAAAATTAGTGAAACTAATTTGTGAACAAGAAGAACATGAATCACGGAAAGTTTGGCGAGATGTAACTGTTGGATTAAAAATTAATGATATGGAAAAAGCAACAGCAGCTAAGTGTACAATTGAACAAAAACAACGTGATGAAGCACGTATTAGAAAAGAAAATAACATTAATTGGCAAACTAAGGTACATTTTTTTTTTCAAATTATATATATATATTTTCTTATCTTAAATAATTACATAAAATTTTATTTGTCGACAGTTATTCAAAGAAACCAAAGATGGTTGGGTTTATATACAACCTCTTGCAGATAGATTATATTTTTGTTCCAATCAAATTGCTACAGCATAGGACCTGCATTATGATTTGCTGCGATTTTAAATATTGCACAGTACTAGAAATTTAAGGCCTAATATATATAATAATACATATGATTAATATTCATCATTTTTAAATTTAATGACCTTGTTATAGAGAAGAACAAAACTAAAAGGATATTATAAATTTCTCTTTAAAAATTTTTTTTTTATAAGCCTGATTAAGTACAATAGCAAATATTAAAATGGTATACAATATTAATATTTCATTAAAGGTATGTAGATATTTTCATAGCAGGCAAATTATTTTTTATAATATATTAACCATCAACAGCTATTGCATTAAACAAAAGATATTCGCATAGTATTATACTATGTATTATATGTCAACATAAACATATAAGCTTATGTATTGTTAAAAAAATATATATAGCTATAAAAATAATATTCCTGATGATGATTTACAGTTTCCGTTAACAAAAATTGAAAAACAGTATAATATAATATAATATAATATAAATAAGAAAATTTAATTAAATAATGATAGAGTAAATGCTATTTCTGATAGTACTTTTCATAGTATATTTTTTCTAGATATCATCAATGATTAAATATAATTACATAAAGACTTTTTTTTATTCCATAATAATTATATGTATATTTGAACATTTAACTTCGAATATTTTTAAATAATCATTTTATAATATATAAAACTTAATTAATAAATATAAAAATTGGATAATTGTATTCATAATTGTAAAAATAATATATAATGTAGAATTTTTTTATATTTATGTATATAATTGTTTATTTTTAATTGAATATAAATTCATAGCATTTACATGCTGTAGATACTTATAAATATTTTTCATATTTTTTTTTATTTTTTTTTAATTAACCACAGAGTATTAATATTAGAATATCTCAAAGAGATTAATTTTATTTAATTAAGTTATTATATTTAAATATTTATATTAATATAAATAAAATCGTAATTTATAATTCTAATTTTTAACTTTGCTAATCACAATTAGCAAATATATGAATAAATATATGAATCAACATTGTAAAATATTCCTATTCAATATAATATGTAATATACAAATAAATATGTAAATTTTTGATAAAATAAAGCTTTATTCATGCATCAAAATAATACATGCATATTTAGTATAAAATTTTTTACATAAAAATGAATTAAAAATATACAAAGATTATACAAATATTAGAATTTTCAATATTTTAAAAATATAAAAAATATGATTAACTATTGTTTATAGAATTTTCTAAATATATATGTCCAATATAGCAATCAATAGCAACCCTATGAAGTTGTGGAAATCGTTTTGTTGATGTTAATAAATGTTTCAAACCTGCTTTTATTACTAAAAAACTTACTTCACAATATGATTTATTTATAGAATTAGAAATATTTTTGTTTGTTTCATATTTATATAATACTTTTACAACTGATACTTTTTGCAAATTTATAACATTATTATACAAAATTTCCTTAGGTTCAATCATTAAATTTAAATGCCAATCCATTGGTTTTAAAATGAGAGAGTGAGTTTCTTTTCCCATAAAACATTGCAAAATTATTTCTTCACCAAAAATACCAGTCATTGAAGTTTTAATAGCAAGCAAAAAATCATTAAAGGGATCTGTTGCATTTTTTATTTCTGAATTATTTAATAAATTATAATCCACAGCACAACTCCATAATTTAAATGAAGTATCGGTATGAATTTTTCCTATATATTGTAAACATCTATTACAAATCACAGCATTTTCTTTTATTTTTAAATGATGATTAAACAAACTTGTATGAATGATAAAAAATAATGATCCATAAAAGATATCAGATTGTAATGGAATTAAATTATGTATAATATTTTTATGATTATGTTTACAACAAAACCATTCATCTGGATCATAATTCATATTTGGCACAGGCAAAACTCTTTTAATATGTATATCTTTAGAAAGAATATTTTTGCAGCAACTACACATTATATTACACTTATTTGCATTAAATAATTCAGTATTTTTTATAGAATTTTTTAAAAAATTGTTATTTATTGTTGTATTAGTAATTATTTGTGTTTTGGAAGATCCAAGAATAGGATCAGATACAATTTGAGCTCGAAAACAAATCCAATTCTTTGTTATGTTTAAAGTTGATAATGAATCAGGTATTAATTTTACAAATTTTGTTAAAAAAGTTACTGTATTATTTTCTATTGTTATTTCTATACTTTCCTTTGAAAGTTTTATTTTAATTTCTGTTAAATTTACTTTTTTATTTAAATGAATAAAAGCATTACATATTTGAAGTCTGGGTCTTAACTCTAATGTTATGGATTTTATCATTTTGAAAAAATATTAATTTAATTAATTAAAAAAATTAAATTATTTTTTATGATAAATATGATTAATTTCTTTTTCACATTGTTTTAAATTTAATCCAATATATGAATTGAATTTTATTACATAACTTTATATACTTTATATATATATAATTCTCTTTTCTTCAATACTACAAAAAAATAAATGAAAAAATCATATTTTACATTCAAAAATAAATTTTTATCTTGATTCATATAATTTATATAAATTGAAATATAAAAAATTTGAATAAATTTACCTTAAAAATATTTGATGATGAATTTTTCCAATGTACTGGTAAGTTAAATAAAATTTTCAAATTTTTTCTTTTTTTTATCTGAAAAAAAAAATATTTATAAATATTATATTATATAAAAATTTATAGATTTTATACAATTTACTAAATTATTAATTTATTTACCAGAGAAAAATCTATAATTATGATATATAGATCAGAATTCGATTTAATATTTTTAGATATTCTAAACAAATAAATAAATAATTATAATTTATAATATATTATAATTTTACTTTATATATCACATATCAATTATTATACTTTTTCTGATAATTAATAAATCTAATAATATATTACTCATTGAAATATCGTTAATTATATACTGTGTTTTATATAGGAAAAATCACAGATAAAATATAAAATAGACCTAACTTTCACTATATTTTTTATGTCGTGCCTTGAGGAAATGAAATCTCTAAAATTCATCATCGTTTTAATATCATTTTCAATATTATCGAGCGGTTTAAAATAAAATAGCAATATTGATAATAGCTGAAATTGAAATTAAATTTTAATATAAAATTAAAAATAAGAAATAGAATAAATATTTTGTAAGAGTATATGAAGTACTGCATTTTATATATAATTATATTTATATAAGCTTATATAAATTATTATGAAAAAATTTATGATTATCTAAATATATCGTAAAATTGAAAATGCAATATATTTTATTATTTTAAAAAGATTAAAACATATTATAGTTTTAAAAAAGAAATAATGAATATGAATATTCAATTAATATTGTGTCATCATGCATCAAAAATAAAAAAAATAATTAGTATAAAAATAATTAGTATAAGAAGAACAAAGATAGGTTAAAAATTGAAAAATCAACGACAATTTCAAAATGTTGCAAATAAAACATATGTATATAAAGAAAATAAATAATGAGATAAAGACAAAGATAACATAGAAAATGATTATTTTCATATTTCTTGAATATTAAAAACAACTTTTGAAAAATAACTAAAAAATGATATTTTCAATTCTTATTTTACTTTATTCTGTCTTTGAAGAAATATCTTTAGTATTCAAGAGGTAATACTAACAACTAATTCCTATCCTATCTCTCTTTTCCACACTATTTGTTCTACATATTTATATATATTTCATCTGTGGTACTCTGGAAATGGCGCTAAATTTCTAATTTTTAATAATATCTCTGTCTTTCCATTATTTGCTTTCTTTTAGCTTTTAGCTTATTACAATCGTAGCATAATTTCATCTTTTATTTAATTATATTTTCTTGAAAAAATGAAACGAAAATTTGGCCAAAAGTTTCTATTTCAGAATTTTTAGAAAAATTTTATATACTACTATTGAATTATATTCTCCTGATACAAATTGATTAAAAATTTCAATAATATTAAAAAAATATAATTCAATAAAGATAAAAAATATGCGAAATTTTTTTAAAAAAAAAAAGAAATTTATATATTTATGTAAAATACTATGAAATAGTTTTGCATATTTATCTATAACATTCTTTTGGTATTTTTAATTTTTTTGGATTTTAGTTTTTTCATATTTATATTTATATTTATATTTATATTTAATTATAAATAATTTAAATTATAAAATTAAATTATAAAATTAATTATAAAATTAAATAATTTATAATTTATAATTAGGTTATATACTTCTTAAAATGCCGTTAACTGAAATTGATATATCTCGATATTTTCTATAAAAAAATATTGATCAAGTATCAATCAAATCATCATCAATCATGTAAATCGAAAAATTGTTAGTATAGAAGAATATAATTATTTCTAAAAAAAATAATAAAGAGATTATGTTATATATGATTTCTTTATATTTGCTGCAAAATTATTTTATTTTTCTGTTTAAGAAATTCGTATAATATTTTATATAGTATATCTGTTTACTATTGATAGCAATTAAAAGATTTATGAATTTATCAAATATATTTTTTTAAAAACTGTCAATTTTTTGTAATTGAATTGAATTTAATATCTGCATCCACTGCCATAGATAAATTTTTATATTTCTATAAAAATTTTATATTCTATGCTATTCAAAAAATCAGACTTTTATATCTAAATTTTTATCTAAATGAGAAAGTCGTTAATTTTTGTTTTTAAAAATATATATTATTATATAATAGCTAATTAATCAATGATCATTTTAAAATATTTTATATTAATTATATTATTTTTTAATAATAATTATCGTTAAAAAAATTCAAAAAATTTCATTAATTTGAATCTTTCTTTCTTATTACTATTTCAACAAATAATCTTAGATAATTGATTTTACAGATTTTTATTATTTTAAGATATAAATTATCTATTTGATCTGCTATATTATTTATAATTTTTGACAGAATTCCGTTATAATCAGATTGTATTGTGTTCTTGGTAATTTGTGAATGACATGAAAATAGTAGTAGTGAAGAACTCCAGAAATTTGAACATAAAAATAGAAATATTTTATAAAATATTAGTATAAAATAATTTATTATAAAATAATTTCATAAATATTAGATCTATTTTATTCCATTTTCTGTATAATACATTGTAATAGTGCCTCTGTCGGGAAAAATTTTAATTATAAAGTAACCTAACGAAATTTATAAACAAGTATAAACATAAAAACATTGAAATATGATTATTTTTTCAAGATATTTATGTGATAAAATATGGCAAAAATTAACTTTTATAAAAGTATTAGGTATTTCCTATTATTATATTTTTAATCTTTTATTTATTGTTATATTATTATTAATATTATTGTATTATCATTTTCAGATAAAGAATTTAAAGTTTTTTCAACTTTGAGACAAAAAACTCAATTAGAAGATAATAATAATTCTAAAATGGAAAATAATAAGTTAAATGATTCTCTGTCTTTTGTAAATTATAGATTTATTTATCCTGAATTTTTACCAGATCCTAATCCATTATATCGTAACAGTATAAGAGAAAAATTAGAACGTATGGATATGTTGAGTAGAAGATCAGTTTTGAATATTCCTGAATTTTATGTTGGTTCAATATTAGCAGTAACTTATTCTGACTTACATGCAAGTGAAAAAATAAATAGATTTGTTGGTATATGTATATTAAGGAAAGGTAGTGGATTAAGATCTTCATTTCTTTTAAGAAATGTTGTTAATGGAGAAGGTGTAGAAGTATCCTACGACTTATATGATCCTGCTATTCAAAAAATTGATTGTTTGAAGTAAATATAATTATTATATTATATTATAAATTAATTAAATGTAATTAAAATGTAATTTATTATAAATTTTTTTTATTTATAGATTGGAAAGAAGATTAGATGATGAATTACTTTATCTTAGAGATGCACCACTAGAATATAGTACATTTCCTTTTGATATGGAAATGGAATCAACATTTTCAAAATCTGTTCCAATTAATAAAATTAAAATTCCTCTTAATCCATTACCTTGGTCAGAGAAATGGGAACGTAAAAATCTAAAAGGAGTTAGAGACTTGGTTGTTAATGAAAAACGCAGGAAGAAAGCAGAAGCTCATTTTAAACCATGGGAAAAATATGATTTGATGAAAACTTATAGGTGAAATTTGATATTCAATAAGTAATTATTTATTATTTTGAAGAAAATAAATATAAATATGTATTTTTATGTTTTAATAGGGAGACTATTCCAGAAGAGGAACAAATTGAAATATTTTCAGATGTATATACAGAACTTCGTCACTTAGAAGTACAGAAGAGTATATTAAAACGCAAATATATGTTAAAAAGACAAAAATGAACTACATAAATCTTTTTAAAATTATGAATAATATTTTTTCCAATTAAATATTATCTGTATATTAAAAAATGATATAATGTACATATTTTTCTTACATGATTTCTAATTATTTTGTAAAAATATAGATATACATATATAATTTATAAATATACGTATTGCCCATTTTCTTATAATAATAATTCATTTGGATATGTTTTAAACTGAGAGTTTTAAAAAAAAATTATTAATAATACATTTTTTGTTTTATTAGGAAGTGAAAAATATACAATAGAAATTATAAAATTTGAAATGACTACACATCATCTTCGAACATTCTTATCTGATGTATAAGGAAACAATTATTTTTTGCATATTATTCGAATTAATTGAGAAAAGATAAATATGCAAACGTAAAATTAGCTAGTTAACAATGCTACATTGATTTCTTTAACCATTTTAATACGATATAACATTTTTATAAGATGTTCCTTAGCCAATGGAGATGTTGAATACCATACTGGACTATCCGGTACACAACTTCTTTCTGGCAGTAAATAGAACACATCATTCCGTGTTTTAACACTCTCTGGACTGAAATACAATTAATATAATTAATTAATATAATTATTAATATAATTATTATATTAATATAATTATTATATTTATTTGAAATTTTTTTTCATAAAATAAAAATAAATAAACGTACCATTTAGACAAGTAAAATTCATATAATTTAACTGGACACCTTAATGGATTTTCTTCATTTTCTTGTTGTTCATATACTTTTTTTTTACGTGAATTACTTCCTATAAAAAATATCATTTTATTATTTTTTTAAATATAGAAATTATTTAATACTTACCTAATGCTGATTGTGGTGGATAAAAACGAAGAAGAACATTTCTAGATCCTGGAACTTTTCCTGTTGTAGCAGGTTGTGCAGCAGGATTACGTTTCCAATGTTTCATAATGTGAGAAAATGATAATTGCATATGTTCTTCTACTGTCTGAATAATATCAAATTTTAATCATTTTAATATATAAATGTTAATATAAATATAATAAATCAAATAATATATACATACTACAAGATTAAAATGTTTAGTGTTAAAAAACATTAAAGTACTTAAAAGGACATGAGGGGAATGAGCACCTAATTGCTTACATTCCCATAAATGTTCTTCTTCGACCCTTGTAACAATGTATTCTACAAAAAATTTTATTAATAATATAATATAATTTTAATTAATTTTAAAAACAAAAAATAACTTACGTGCATCATTATAAAGAACAGAAAATTTTTTTGCAACTTCGTTTAAACAATCTGTAAATCTTTCATAATATGAATCCGTAAAAATATTGTCTATTCTATTATTTTCAAATAAATACTGTTGAATTCCTATAATATAAAACAATTTTAAATAATTA